ACTTCTCCCCTCAAAGGGGATTGCCAAGCAATTGTATTGAATAGATACTATGAAAAACTGTGAAATTCAATTAAATTGGGAAAAGTAGAGGCCAGCTGTTTTTAATGAATGTTTTCAACTTTAGAGCAGCAAGAAACCTGAGATATCCTGGTTAAAATCAGAGGATAGGACTCAGTAATTAAAGGGAAGATGGTTGATTAAATTTGTGTACAGAATTCAGGTGTCAGGGATGTATAGTTTCAGAGTAATCTCAGAAGAGTGTTTATGCAGCAAAGCCCTTAGAAATGTTAGGATATGGCAAAATCTGGATACGTTGTGTACTAATATAAGTGTCCTTGAGTAATGCACTTCTGGATACCAGAATATCCCTGTCATGTGCCTGTAATAACTTCCTAGTCATAACTTCCAAGCTGTGATGAAAGACTGTAGTGGATCTAAACAATTATACCATTGGTCTGTCTTGGTTTAAAATATGGCATTTCTTAGGAGCTTGAAACGGTCAATAAATTGCCTCAAAGTAGACCACAATATAGTACCTAAGAAGGAGAATTCTAGAGATGAAGACGTGGAAATAAATCAGGTACTGTCATACACAGCCATCGTGTAACCATGAGGTCCAACTCTCTCATCATATCACTTCTTGGAGTGAACACCTGCCATTCCAAAAAAACGAACAGTGAATCTAAGAAAGCAAAATGCAGTGTAGAGACAGGAAAAAAACATGAGATAACAAAAGCCACACAAAGTACTACAGGTAAAAGCATCACTGACTGACGTTAGGTGACTAAATCAAAGATGTCATGAGATAGAGGCATCACACAGAGAAATGAATCATACTGTAAAGAGGATGTCCATTTTACACAACTGTGAATAAGGGAATCTTCAGTGAATTTAACTTCATCCTAGAAAGCTGATCATCAGATTTTTTTTTTCATGCATTCTGATGCTCACTAGGTATAAACATCATGGACAAATGCAGGCCAAGTAATTATGATGGAGTAAACTGGACACCTAAAACACAGATGAACTAAAGGAGGAGGTGGTATTAAAACCAAATAGTCAATGCTTGCTTAAGGTATAAAATTAGAAATAAACAGAAGAATCTGCAGAAAGCTCTGGGAAAAATAAATAAATAAATAAATAAAAGTATGTTCCCACATCAGAACTTAGTAATGCCAGAGCCCTTGACTAGTGCGGCTCTGTACATTTGAGAGATTGTACTAGTGTAGTACTAGAAAATCAGTAGGTTAAAAAATGTCAGTGTACTCAGCCAAGAAGTCAGTTTAGTTTTTATCTAGCAGTTCACAGAAGGGAAACTGACTTCACCTTGGAAATGCTATCAGAACGTGCATTGGAAGTATAAAGGACGTGACCTCACTGTGACTTTTCGGTACTTAAAGGGGACTTATAAAATAGATGGAGAGTGACTTTTTGCTTAGGCAGACAATGGCAGCACAAGGGGGAATGGTTTTAAAGTAAAAGAGGGGAGATTTAGATTGGATGTTAGGAAGAAATTCTTCCCTCAGAGGGTGGTGAGGCACTGGCACAGGCTGCCCAGAGAAGCTGTGAATGCCCCATCCCTGGAGGTGCTCAAGGCCAGGCTGGATGGGGCTTTGGGCAGCCTGGTCTGGTGGGAGGTGTCCCTGCACATGGCAGGGAGGTTGGAACTAGATGACCTTTGAGGTCCCTTCCATTCCAAGCAGTTCTATGATTCTATGATTCTAAGTTGCTGCTTTTGTGAAAATTTTGAGAAGTTTCAGAATGACAGACAGGCATCACTGAAAAATGTCTTGATGAGTCACAAAAATCCAGTTAAGAAAACCCCGCAGCTGAGACAGAAAGCATTGTGAACAGATACTGAAACATCACACTGCATCATCAAGGTACATTTTGTCTGAGAAAGCATTTGGTATTAAGTGGAAAGCAAAATGAATGGCAGTTTGGAATCTTCTAAATAGCATCTGAGTTAATGGAGCTTAGATGAACAATGTAATGTAGGCTGGCAATCTTTTTCTAAGAGTTCAATTAGAGAAGACCTTCAGAGCTTGATGAATGTTTTCAAGAAAAAAAAAAAAGATAACAAAAGTGGTAAAAGCACTCTCAGCAAAAGACAAAGGTGACAACTCATTTATTTTAACAACCAAGCACTAGATCACAGCTACCAGCACTCCAGCAATTTATTGTAGTGCTGGCTTCACTGTGTTCCTGATCATCTGGCCACCACCACGTACTATTTCATTGTGCTGTGCACCGGGTAGAGAAGAATAGCTTCTGTTCTAGACAAACCCATGGCTCGGTGGGGTAACAGTTTCACCCCTTCCCCTTTCTTTGGGATATAGGGGCTACACAACACAGAAACCACAGTTGTCTTTTTCTTACTCAGTGCTGCAAGGACTGTAGTAATCTGTGCACACTGAGAAACCCTAAGTGGTCCTCATGGCTTATAAAAGCCAGTAAGGCTCAAGTCTTATTTCAGTAGTTTTTCTTTCTTTTTTTTTTTTCTTTTATTTTATTTTTCCTTTTTTTTTTTTTTTCTTCCTTGTCACACATTGTAATATTACACCTACTTCTGGCTTTTCCGCTTTGTAGTTTTCCTCACCTTTCCTCTCCCTTTCCACTATTCTTCCCTCTTCCTTTACCTTTTTGGTTGGTTGGTTGGCTGGTTTACTCTTTCTCCTTAAGAAAAAATAGGATGCCCAGCTCTTGTCCAAATCATGAGGATGCAAAAGAGTGATTTAGAGTCTAGAGGAAACTGCTGTTCCGCTTCAGCTGTGCTAGGAGAAGATCCTGGGATTGCCCTCTTTTGCTTCTGATGCAATTTTCAGGGCGTGGATGAACAATAGAATGGAAATGGATAGGTTTTTAGATTTGTCAAATGAAAGAAGGAAGATGGTATAAAACAAAACATTAAAAAGCCTTTACAGAAATTAATTGCCATTTCCAATGCTATTAATGATAGAGAAAAACAAATGTGCACTTTCATAGCATCACAGAACGTTTTGGAAGGAACCATAAAGAGCATCTGGTTCCAACTCCCTGCCATGGGCAGGGACACCTCCCACCAGACCAGGCTGCCCAAAGCCCCATCCAGCCTGGCCTTGAGCACCTCCAGGGATGGGGCATCCACAGCTGCTCTGAGCAGCCTGTGCCAGGGCCTCACCACCCTCTGAATGAGGAATTTCTTCCTAATATCTAATCTAAATCTACCCTCTTCTAATTTAAAGCCATTACTCCTTGTCCTATCACTTCACTCCCTGACAAAGAGTCACTCCCCAGCTTTCCTCTGGGCCCCCTTTTAGGTAGTGTAAAGCCACTGTAAGGTCTTCCTGGAGCCTCTTCTTCTCCAGGCTGAACAACCCCAACTCCTTCAGCCTGTCCTCATAGGAGAGGTGCTGCCAGCCCTTTGATTATCTTTGTGACCCTCCTCTGGACTTGGTCTAATACTTCCATGCCCTTTTTGTGCTGGGGGCCCCAGACCTGAATGCAGGGCTCCAGGTGGGGTCTCACAAGAGCAGAGTAGAAAGGGAAAATCACCTCCCTCAACATGCTTGTCATGCTTCTTTTGATGTAGCCCAGGATACATTTGGCTTTCTGGGCTGCAAGTGCACGTTGCTGGCCCGCAATTCACCAGTGAGTGTTCAAGATGTGATAGGTGGTTAACTATCTTGTTCAATTGTAATGGCCTGACACTTAAAAAAGATGCAGAAATGAATCATAGTGCACTTTAAATTTTGAAACAAGATGAATATTTAAAGGCAGTTGAAGAGCCAAAACCACAAATGAGGAACAGTTGAGAATGATGTGCTTAGAGCACAGCTGCTTTAAGAGCTCAACACTACCATGTCTCTGTAACGCATTGTCTGACAATCACAATATCTAGTTGTAGTTAATTTACAATCACTAATTCTAATAAAATAAAAGAAAAAGCAGCAAGAGAAAAATATCAGATACATTGCTAGGTACAATCAGGTTCAGAGAAGACAGGGCATTTTATAACTTTTTCACAGCTGCTAAAGATGGGAGATGTTGATCTGCACTCACTGGCTTGGAGATGTCACTTCAAAGTGATGAGAAAAAGACTTAGTAATTGGCGTGGGGCAATATGTGAAGGGAGCCTTTGTCAAGGTAGCAATAATTAAATAATGGGTTAATAAAGTTCAATACAATGTGTAATAACATAGCTATTCCTGTGGAAAAAAAGTATAAACTTTTTTTTTTTTTTTTAATTTATGTTAGTGTTTCTCATCACATGCGATTAGAATGTGGAGATTTTTACTCCAAAAAGCACAGTGTTCTTCAGAACAATAATCTTTATTTCTTTCACTGCTATTTGGCAGGGTAATAATCATCTTTCCTTGAGTTTCTTCGCAAAAGAAATAGAATTTCAATGCAATTGCATTGGCTCCCTCTGGTGGCACTCAGAGATGTTCTACTTTACAGTCCAGCAAAACTACTGATTCAAAACACGTTTGATATCAGAAATTGATATTACTATTTTATTTTAATTGTTGTATTAAAAATAGGAGGAAAAAGTAATCATATCCTTGAAGTCCAATGCAGCTTACACAAAATCAGTTCATAAAAATGAAATCCTATCAGCAATCTGGGTCAAAATGGCTGGAGAAAACATCACTTGTTTCCCTTCCCTCACATTCTTTTAACTGAATTCATGGACAGCATTTTACTATTATGTGTTTGGAAAGGAGAGGAGTTACAATGTCTTAGCTATGGCCCTACCCTGTTTCACTTGGCAGCAGAGATCAATCAGTCTTTTACAGAAAGTTTTCACAGGAAAATTTCCGTTTTGAAATTAAGGCACTTGGCAGTTGTTGCCACTTGCATCCTGAGAGCTCTTGCCAGAGCTAAAACAGATGTGCAGTTAATGCCTGTTTTTGTCCACTTGTTTTTAATAATGAATGTGGATAAGAGAGGAAAGAAAGGGTAAAGAGGAGCAGGAAATGGGGAAGCAGTTAGATCATTTCCTTTATTTATCTATGCAGGAGGACCCACATTTTGAGGATGTTGCCAAGGATGAAACTTGCCCTTTTATCTAAAGTTGGGTAACTCTGCAGTTACCCATCCTCAGCAAAGCAGGACTGACTGAGGGGAAGAAAATGATTAAAGTTGCATCATCAGTGCGGCCCAGTCTCCCATCTCTGCAGTCCAACTCCTCATTATTGAACACAGTAAGTTTCCTGAATGACTGAATGTTCCTGCCCCTTCTTCTACTTAATAATAACAGAGAGATCAAGGAATATTGCCTGGAAACAGAAAGGGAGAACAGGTTTTGGTCATTTTAAGTCCACTGTATTAACATTCACGGGTTGATACACAGATATATTTCCAATGATAGCACTTTAGAAACTATCAAAACAAGAAAATAGAAGAAAAAGTATTTTTATTTTCTATGCATATTGCAGAACAATATATCAAAAGATCAGCACTGAAAAAGCACCAGACATTTGAATATGTACTGAAATTTTACAGAGAGGAAAGAATGTATTCACCATGATGGTCCGAATTTTTGGGTAGACCTGTGTGGAGCCAGGACTTGGACTCAATAATCCTTATGGATTCCTTCCAACTCAGGATATTCTATGATTCTATGATAAATACTCATATTGGAAGAAATGGCTCTTCTGTTTAAATGGATAAAGGGGGCACAATCTTTTCTGATATAGCTTTAAAAAGTGAAAAGGGAAATGCTAAAAGTATTTTTGAACCATTATTTTTTAAATGATTTGAATACTCTGCTTTTTGAAAGCACTTTAGTGCTAAATACCAATAATATTTTGCAAATTCTCTGATCTTGGCCAAATTCTGATCCTACAGACTCTTCTGCTTAAGCAAAAACCAAACTAAACCAAACCAAACCAAAACCATCACCACCATCACCACCAACAAAAACAGAAAACTTATTAAATAAAATGTAATTAATTTACTGGATTAGCAAGTCTGAAAATTCAGCTTTTCAGAATATTTCAGGCTTAAAAATCAAAAATAAAAGCAAACAGTATTATGAGTAACAGCTGTATATATGTGAAATATATATATATGTATATATACATATACATTCTCTGCTACAGAATGAAGAATTCTCTCTGAGTCTTTTATTAGTATATTTAATCATAATAGCTTGGCATTCTTGAGGCTTATGTATGTAATTCTGCACACCTGCAAGTTCTTAGAACACTTCTTTAACCTTTAAGAAACACACCATCAGACAAGCAATGTATTGCATGTGTCAGCACGTTATTCTAAAATATTTAATGTGAACTTTATTATTTGTAAATCTTGTTTCTTCATATGAGAAAGTTCTGTGTTATTCAGCAAATTCTTTACCTGACATTTCCACAGCTGGTTTTACATCTACAAAATCCACTAATTTTAGACAATGCCTTTTCGTTTTCAAAATCAGTTCAGCCAGTAATAAGTCACCAAATTTTAAATAAAGCTAGCTTTTGAACCATGAAAGAATAGAAGAAATTTGAGCCTTGTGTAAAAGGCAAAAACAATTGAAACTGTGCATTAAGAATGGCAAGTCATTCATAACTCTACATCACACAACTGAAAGCTAAGCTAGACTATTTATAGCTAAGCACTGTCAAGAGCAATATGTGTTGATGAGAGAACCTGACTGTTAGTACATTCTTAGATTAGGTACATGCTAATAAGGCCTGTGAAAAGCAATAAAAGGGATGAAGTCTTAAGATAATATTTAGAAGCCAGAAAACATGTTTAAATTGCTTAGATAGACAAAATGGAAAATTAGAGGCATAAGGAGCTAAAGTAGGTAAAATTTTCACTTTCTAATTATTTGTAAAGCAATTCTGTTTTCTATAGATATTTAAAACAAGCAGACTGGTAATACTTTTAAAATTTACTTCTAATAATCAATGATTATATTAATTATAATAATTATTAGTATTTTATATTACTAATTAAATAGTAATATATTAAAAACACTGTTAATAACGAGTCCATTGTAGTGTACATTTTCTTGAAGGTATTTTTTTTAAACAAAGGAAAGAAATCAAACACTTTTCAGAAGGGCTTAGTTGGGAACTGAATCACTTTTGCAGTACAACATTCTGGAAGATTCCAAAGACAGTGGGATGTGGCTTTGCGAGACTGTATAGATCGGTCTGGGAATCTGATGTGTCTTTGGGTCAGAAAATCAATCAATGTTCTGGTCATCACTTTTATTCAGAAACAATTCCTTAGTATGCAAAGGAGAGAGATTCTAAATTATCAGTGTTCCCATAGAATAACACTGTATTTCTACAGGATGAAAGATTGACATAAAAAATTAAGTGTTTTTTTTTTTTTTTTTTTTTAATTTTAATTATATATATTTTTTTTTTATTTATTTTTTTTTTTAGGTAAATGGATTGTGGATATATATGTATGTTGTACGTTACAAAATTCATCCTTATCATGTGCTCCCTGCTGCCTCCTGTAGCACAGTGTAACAGTCTGTGTTCCCTATATTTGGAACTGAAAGTAAAACTGTACTTAAAATTGGCACTGCAGGGCCAAATAATACTACTGTTCTCTTAACAAGAGGCATGCTTGCATCTAGAGCTGAGTCTGCCTACAATTTAGGGAGGGACAGAAAAGTGTTCTAGTTCTGCAGACCGGATGCAGAACTTCAGCTGAGATATTTCGGAGAAGAATGTTGTGGATAGATACATATCTCAGATTCAAATACCTTTGTGTTTCAGGATGCATTCAGAATTTGGGTGTTGCCTCATGCTAGTGCCATATTTAAGCTTCCTTTGGGGAAAAACAATGCCTTAGTTTGAGGTTTTAGTAAGTGAAATAAAGAGAATGTGTAACTTTTAAAATACAAGGTAGTGAAAGCTATGTTTATAGAGAGGAGATTATGCATGGAATTCATGGAAAGAGGATATGAAATTTGGAAGGCAGTAACCACAGTTTCTACAGTGCATAAAACCACAACATTTTCTTTATGCATTCAAAGATACAGCCAAGAGGCAGTCATTGTGCAGTCCACTCTCCCCCTGCACCCAGTTGCTTCCTCAAAGAGAATCCAGCATGAAGTTACACATCAAGAATGGCAGTTTTACGGCTCATCCTAAACCGTTGGATCAGGTACAAAAGGAGGATGGGAATGGGTGATGGTATCAGGGCAGTCCAAATGCACATTGATCCTAAGTTTACTGGGCAGGGATCTGAGCAGCTCAGCAGGCTCTTTTGCCTGCCTTCTTCTCATTCTGTACTCACATAACTGTGATGTCTAAATTACAGTCACCTATCTCCCAGCTCCTAACTGCAATACTTCATGAACATACTGTGAACTCTCCCTCCCTATGTAGTCAGTAGAGAGACAGACACGGCAGTTCAGTGTTAGGACACCAGAGTGTTATTTCAGACTACCCACAGTGTCCAAAGTTAGGCGGGTAAAGGTAAGCATGCTTAACTAGGAAATTGTTATTCCTGCTTAGTTTATATCCCTCTCCTTGTCCCAAGAAGTTAGATTTATTTCCCCTAAAATTTGTCATGATTTTGGCAACACAGAATTTTTTTCTACCCTGACCCATTTTTTTCTTTCATTAAGTTTGTCTACAGGAAGATGGTCGTATATAAAAGGTTTAATTTATATTCTTGATATTCTATTACTAAGGAGATTGTTACACTGGGAATGAAGATTGCTTTATATTAAAATGTGTTTCATTAGCTAATTTAATTGATAGGTTTGGTATCTCACAAGGCAACTCCCAAGAAAAGGGGATATTTTAACTTAATATACTATGCATAAACACTTTCCAAGCATGGATGATAATTGCTCATCATTATGTCTGAAGAAATGGTCTTTTGGCAGAAACTTAATGACTGTTATTCCATTGGGCAAGATAAGGCTTTGGTATTCACTTAGTGAATTATTGTCTTAATTCTTTGTGTCTGGATGATCACGGACAATGTTATTAATAATAGATTGGAAATGAAGAATAAGAGGGACTATTCATCAAAGACCATATCCAAAGGACATACCTACTCTGGCTTGCTGGACTGATTGTTTTCTACAAGTGGTAGTGTCATTTGTACAGCAGATGCCTAATAGCAGCTACTGAAGAGTGACTGAATTACATTGTTCTTAGGTAGATGTATGCATCTTGCTGTCTTTGCAAATTGTAAAAATAAATTTATAGAATACAAGTACATTTTCATAGATGAAATTCCTTTCAGGCAACTAAAGATTTGAAATGACTAGTCATTACATGACTGGCTCTTCCTTGTTTTCCAAATGCTGATAAATGGAAGTAGAGAACAATGTGTTGTAGTAGATAATATGAGAAGACTTTAAAAGGTCTTGTAATTAGTTGTATTATGAAGAGATCCTATATCATGCACCTAGTAGACATAGTTATGGTTCCTAAATTTTTCTGAAGAGGAGAGATTTTTCTTCCTCTTTTGAAGTACATTAAAATAGTTGACCTTTTATATACCCAGTATTTGCTTTTATACAGCAAACAGCATCTTTTTTTTTTTTTTTTTTTTTTCTGCAAACAGCATCATTTTCTCAAAGACATAACCATTTATGAAGAACCATAGTGGTATAGCATAGTGGTATACTCCATAGTGGTAATAGCTAACAAGATATGGGGAGGAAGGACTATTCTCCAGCTCTTTTTTAACTCCTTCCAATCAAATATGGCCATCCGAAACTCTAGGGAGTCCATCAACACTTATATTCAGAAGATCTAAGGGTTCTAATTATAACCAGTTCTTCACCACGGCCATGGATGATGAGGAGGAGAAAATGAGATCTCAGTGTGCACCTTCTGTTTTTTATTCACCTGCAGTGAGTGTCAGAGAGATAACTGGCTTCTATTGATTGCATATGGCACCAGTATCTCTGGATACCAGAGAAAAAGTAATGTGAATGGATGATTTGTGTAACTGATTTGTTCTAAGTTTGGTACTTATTTCTGAATTAAAGCCTCAGTACACAAATCTGCATGTACAAACTCTCTCAAGTTATTACATTTATGTCAAGAATTAAGCCTGGTGCTCAGGAAAAATTACACAATAGCTGTAGAGGAATAAAAAAAATCAACAGGACAGAAGTGCATAATATGAGGAAAAAATGAAGACACAAAAAAAGAACTCATTGTTGGTGAGGTTAAGGGAATAGGGCTCTCTGGCTTAACCCAGCTGGCCTGGGGGAAAAGAAAAATAGGATAAATAAAAATACACAGGAAAAGAACATTACCTATTAAATTTTAATGTGACTTGGGCAAGAAAGTAGAAATGTTTAATAAAGATCTAATTAAACTTGAGTGTGTTAACTGGCAGGGGCAAAGATACATAAGGGGGCAGTTCTTAAAGAACTAGCACATATATATACTGGTCTCAACAATGTCATTTCTCCAAGCAGAATTTCAGAACATGACACTAATGCCAACAGTACTCCCATTTCCTAGACCAGTTTTCTTCCCATTTTATCTTCCTGTTTTTGAATCTCTGCACACTTTAATAGCTTCAAAAATGTTGCAGAGGGATAGTTAAATTGTTCAGTAGTTAAACTTGCAGGCAGTACTTAGGAGAGATTTGCAAGATGGGAGAAAGCAAGAAAAACAAAAAGTTCTGAATAAAGAAAATAAAAATAACAATAGAAATCAAAGTATGCTTTAGGGCATTTTCATTATGATTGCAGCTAGTGATGTAGCTTTGCTGTGCAATGAGGTTAAGATAGGCCGTTGTGCATTTTCCGAAAAGGACTTGACATATGATTGTTGCCTAAACAGCACAGATTGCCTTGCTATAGCTTAGCAAGATGGGAAGAATCACAGAATTGTAGGGTTGGGAATGGACCTCAAGAGATCATCAGGTCCAACCCCCCTGCCAAAGCAGGTTCCCTAGAGCAGGCTGCCCAGCTCTGCATCCATACGGACCTTGAATATCTGCAGAGAAGGAGACTCCACAACCTCGCTGGGCAGCCTGGTCCAGTGCTCTGTCACCCTCACTGTGAAGAAGTTCCTTCACACATTGGTGCGGAACTTCCTGTGATCCATTTTGTGGCCATTGCCCCTTGTCCTGTCCCTACAGACCACTGAAAAGAGGTTGGCCATATCCCTCTGTCTCTCACACTTCAGGTATTTGTAAACATTAATAAGATCCCCTCTCAGTCTTCTTTTCTCAAGGCTGAACAGCCCCAGGTCTGTCAGTCTTCCCTCACAGGGAAGATGCTCCAGGCCCTTTATCATCCTTGTGGCCCTCCGCTGGACTCTTTCCAGGAGATCCCTGTCTTTTTTTCTACTGAGGAGCCCAGAACTGGACACAGTACTCCAGGTGAAGCCTGATGAGGGCAGAGTAGAGGGGGAGGATCACCTCCCTTGACCTGCTGGCCACGCTCCTTTTAATGCATGCCAGGATCCCATTGGCCCTCTTGGCCACCAGGACACACTGCTGGCTCATGGTCAACCTGTTGTCCACCAGGACCCCCAGGTCCTTCTCCGCAGAGCTTCTCTCCAGCAGGTCATCCCCCAGCCTGTACTGATATGTGCGGTTGTTCCTTCCCAGGTGCAGGACTCTACACTTGCTCTTGTTAAACTTCATTTGGTTACTTCCTGCCCAGCTCTCCAGCCTGTCCAGGTCTCACTGAATGGCAGCACAGCCTTCTGGTGTGTCAGCCACTCCTCCCAGCTTTGTGTCATCGGTGGACACTACTCCCTCATCAAGGTTGTCGATGAAGATGTCGAACAAGACCGGACCCAGCACCGACACCTGGGGAACATCGCTAGTCACAGGTTTCCAACTGGAAAAGATGACCTTCTGACAAACTTGAGGGTGATGGGGGCCAGAGATGCTTATCAAATTTCCTTTAGATTTTAATAAAGAAATGATGTCACCAAAATGACTACTCCAAACTTTAGACTAGAGCAGATTTCTGTGGGTAGGCAGAACTATAGGATGCTTTGGGACAGAAAAGTTCTCCTTCTGTCCTTAGTTTGCCTAGTGCTCATCTGAGAAATTTCTCATTAGTGAGTATTAACACTGGTTTGGATGTCCCTTCTATTCAGCTGTCATGGGGTTGTTCTCTGTGATATGAAGATTTTGGTATGCTGCTTGTAGGCTCTGAAACATTGAATAATGTACATAATGGATGTTGCCTTTAAGGAAACATCATATGATATTGACAAATTAAATTTTAATATCTTTTTGTCTTTTAATTAAAAATAATTGGAAATATCAGATGATTAGGATGCGCTTGGCAGACTAGACATTTGCATTGCAGAGGGTAAAGCATACTTTCCAACCAGAAAGTGCCAGCACTTTGGCATGGAGCCAGTCAACTTATTTGCACTACTCACAGTTATGGGATCAGAGCAGTTCACAGGAATATTTCAGAGTTTATAAAACTATGTTCCAGCTACTGCCTTAGTAGAATGTTCCCAGAGTTCACTGTCATATAACTAGATATGCCTAACCTACACTTCTGAAGACAAAATGATGCCAGTGCAATTTCACATACTCTCACCATTGGTGTCTGTTGGAGCCCTTGATCTGCAGTAGCTTCGACTGTGCCCCATGTGCAGGGCTGCATAAAGCTGGTTGTAACGTGATAATACGTTCAGCAGCTCTTGATGCATTTTTCCCACCTTAAATTCATGATGGTAAAAATATAATCCACATGGTGGCTAGGTGGAATGAACTTTAAACCTTCTAAGTGCCATTTTAGCTGTTTCTATGACAAATAGGTTGTCACTGTTTCCCATATGACTCTATATGACACAGAAAATAATTAAAGAAAGCATACACAAACATTTTTACCTGGAACTGAAAAATAAGATGGCTATGAAGGTTAGAGCTCATTTTCAGGGGGCAAAAAAGCATTTAGAACGTAATTTATGAAGTGAACCCAAGTCAAGGGGTATTCTTTGGGAAACAACTCAAAACTTTGCTCTAGCTTATTGCTCAGGACACATTGCTAAATGTTTTTAGTGTAACTGTAACAAATCCTTTGTTATTAGCATACACATGAGCAGCGTATGATCATTTCAATCCGGGAGATAATTAACAGGAGCAGAAAACAGCATATCCAAAAGCTGGTCCCTCCCTGCTGTATTGTGTGATCCCCTCTGGGAGGCATAGGATGCAGTAATATCAACAAGTATTAAGCAAGGGCTTAATCTCAAGTCTCAGGCTCTGCCAGCCTCTGCGTTGCTCTATAAATCATCCTTTCTTCTTAGCAGAGCTTGGTTGGGTATTAAGGATGTGTTTATGTTTAAGCTTCAAAGTCAGTACTCGCTGATACAATTAACTAATCTACATATCTCCAAGCTAAAGTTGGTTGTTCATTTTTTGAATAGAATAATTTTTCATCTGAAAGTGCTGATTTATCAAAACTGAAGTGTTTTGTGGGAAGATGTTTTAGCAAAAAGTGAACAGATCTGTCTGCTGAGGAGGCATGTGTGAGAACCTACCAGTTTGACTAAGCCAGGGGCTAGTAGTAAGCTGAGAGCATGCACCCCTTGAGCCAAGCGTGTGACTCCTTGCAAGCTCACCTCCTCTATTTCCTGTTTTTAAGTATCTCACCTCAGGGCTGCCAGGAGCTAACACTTAGAAAGGTAAAAACACAAGAAGGTCTGTACATTTGAAAGCCATGATCTGAGGTTTTTTTTTTTTTTTTTTTCTGTGACAACCTGAGTTTGCAGTTGACAGGAAAGTGGCTTTTCTACATTGTCAGCAGAAAAAAATCCAGTTTCTGGATTAGATGGCTGAATAGACATATGAATGTCTATTAATATCTGCAAATGTATGCATGCAGCATGAGCAAGCTGTCTTCACTGGACTTCTTAAACCCCACCTGTTTCAAACACGAAAATATAGGTTCTGAGACACATAGCACCAGCCACCAAGGGACAATGCTAAGACAGCAGCATGGTATGAACTAGCCAGATAGAAATCCCATGTTGCAGTTACACCACTTTCAGAAAGGAGTCTGAGAATGCATGCATGAATAGATGCCATTATCAGCAATACTGGGGTAAATACAGATCCCTGTCCTGCTCCCTCCAGCTTTGGGCTGCTGCATTTAGGACTTGCAGTTTCACCTCATATTTGCCTTTGGACAAAGCACAAACAGAGCATTTACTCTGGTCTCCTGACTCTAAAGATCTAGAGTCAGAATCTGTGTCAGAATCTACTCTCAATTCCCTGAACAAGCTTGGTATTGAACTGGCTCCTTTGTTCTTACCCAGCGAGAATACTCATCTCTCTAATTTGCTTGGCAGTCAAACCACAACCTCCTACTATTCAACTTACTCTGAAATCATAAAGCATTGATTTCGATAGTGTTTTATAGTGAGGAATGATATAAAAGATGAGAGACACTGACAAAGGCAACCTAAGTATGCATCTACATAATTGCATTGGTATAATTATACTGTTAAGATAATACCTGTATAACACACCCCAGACAAGTGTCTTTTTTTTTTTTTTTTTTTTTTTTTTTTTCCCTGTAGCTTTATACCTGTTTTAAAGCTATGTGATGATATAAGTCCTGTCTAGACTACAGTATTGTGTTTGCTAGGACTTGAAACTTTTAGCATTTAAGTATTCTGATTAGGAAAGAATGAAACTTTGGTTGATATAGAACAGAACAATGCCTCCTCTCAGATTACTCTCCTGGGTCTACCTACAAGCACTTTCCAGAGCATTCAGCTAACTCTCCTCTCTTAGTACCTATATTCAAGCAACAAATATCAGAAGGGAGCTGCTCACTTTCCTAAGGCTTCTGGCAATTGGTTTACTCTAATCTCATGTTGCTTTCCCAGTCTCTCCACACACACGTTTGAAAAGTCTGCCAGGATTAGCAGCCATTCCTTTAAGCATGCTGGGAAATCATGTCTGAATTTTTATTCCTCATCAGCCAAAGTATATTGTTTTGTACAGTGGCAAATTGGGAAGGAATGTGAGAAAAGCACATGTAAAGAATTGTAGTAGTGCACAGTACACATTCCTGGTTTCTGCTAATCCACAGTTTATAGATTTCTAAAGCCAGAATTTGCATCATACCAGTGTTTAAAATGAGCAGTATTCATTCCTTTTTATGAACCTTGAGGCCTGTTTGGAGAAGCAGAAGAATATATATATACATTTTGGGCAAGATTTTGTTTCTTTAATAGGAATAAAAATTTCCATTGGCTGTGTCAGGCCATAAGGTTCTTTTCTCAAGCAGGATTTTGGAAAGCATTTATTCAGGAAATATAGTCCTTTAAGGTTGATCATACATGGAATTTAATGCTGACATAGCAGGAGCTGGAATGAACCACTTAGTTTCAAAGGTGACTTTTAGATTTTAGAATTCCCTTTTCTATCTCCCTGATAATTAAGTGATTCACTTTTATCTTGCTATGATACTCTTACATCTGTGTAAGTGTGGTTACTACTACATTGTTGCAGTTGAAATGTTGCCAAGTTGTATCCAAATTTGTGTTTAATTTGGAATAATGAAACCGTGTTTCTGCATTTTGCTGACTAGTGAGAGTGATTTGACTCCCAAATTATAAAACAGTTGGACATATTTGACTATTTTAGTGTCATCTATTTTCCATTTTCTATCTTTGAATGCAAATAACTTTTTTAAAGAAAGCCAATGCTGTGAATAACATGTAACAACATGTGAACTTTGCACTAGAGGTAAATACAATGTGGTTGTACTTTCATAGCTGTGAGAGAATCATCTAAAAAGGTTAGACTGAACTATTATTTCTTTTTGGTTTAAATACATAAAATAGATCAGTAGACAGTCAGTGGACATCATCCATTTTGACCTTAGACCTGTTGGGCCACATCCAGAGCTAACTGACATGCTTTCCTCCACCTTCTTGTACCTGTATACTGAGACAGAAGAGTCCAGTTGTTGACTACTGAGGCCAAACGGTGTTACTTCAAACTTCTTGCCATGGAGAACTGGAAGTTAAAGCAGGTGGTGGCCTACTTTGACACTGATGTTCAGCATGCTGTCATTATTTTTCTTGTCACCCTTACATAGTGGTTGTGATATGACCTAATGTACAGAGCAGTTGTGTTTCTTTGTTTTGTGCTCTTCTCCCTGCCTGTCACCTGCTGTCCCTGGTTTTATATTTAAATTTCCATCTCCCTGGCTAGGACCAATGCTGCCACTCACTGTGGAGGAACAGGGAGGGAGTCAGTCTGCACTGTCTATGAGCCCTTCACTGGTAAATTCTGGGTAGGAATGGAAATTGTTTTTGATCTCTACAGTTAATTAGTAACATGATTAACATTTTGCCCAAGTGTTAGTACTGTAAATGCACTATTTGCTCCCCATCTTTCTACAATTTATCCAATTAGAGTTTCAAAGCCATACTGTGTAGTGAAGGACAGCACCTTAGCCACCCCGAGGAGCACAGTGCAGTCAGGACAACTGGGCCTTGCAGCGTGCCAGCTCGAGGCAGCTCATGTTTTGAGCACACAAAAACCTGGATTGGATTAATTCTGTGTGACCACAACGGGAAAACAAATAAATTCATGACAAATATTAAACTGAAAAGTTAGTCTAGCTCTAATACATCTTTGAAAGCTTCATGCGTTTATGTGAAAAGCACTTTCGAGC